CATATTACAAATATTGTAAACTTAAAACGAAAACAAATCAAAGTCTTAATCCTAGCTCAAGACTCAAAACATGTAAAATCAAAATAAAGAGGACTCAATATATGGATTTGGGAGTAAAAAGATAGTAAAATAATATCTTAAATGGGTGCTAAAGTGTAAATTCTTGTAGCATTTATTAGGATGTTTTCCATAGCATATTCTTGAGATGTATTTGAGAAATCCTTTTCCTTGAAAACACGTGGTGCTGATTTGGCCATTTATGTTAATTGTTGTTAATTTGGAAATTTGGGTTGTTACATTAGGCACATTGATGTAACCAACTGTCTTCTCCCAAGGAATCATAGTAGATGGCTCAAAATGCAAAAGCGCATTCCAAATCATTGAAATAGACCTTGTCATAACCTTTTTTAGCATAACTGATACCACCCCGCTTGTGCCATCTTGGTTTTCCAGATTTCCAACCTCTCCCCTTTCATGTACTGATGTATCTCCGATGGTCGAGAACCTCCTGGATTTGATAGGTTAGCAATGTAGGAGTCTGATTCGGATCAAACAACACATACCTCTTCACGAATTTTTTGTATCACCTTCGTCAGTTTCTAATTAAGGACTGTCAGGTGGTCTTTGACCCGTTATTGAATGTCGACAACAATGAAACCAGTCACCTCCTTCCTAGATCCATCCTTCTGCAGGATCATATCACTGGCCATGACTTCAAACACACAATACAAACACAATTGCAAATCCCTAGCCATGGATTCGGTACTGCTATGATATCAATTTTTATGAACCAACTTAAAAGGGTGAAACAAAAAAATAGTATAAAAAATTGCTTGGCCAAATTCTATTCAATCAAAGTAAATGATCGTAAAACAAGGATAATGAATCAGAACCTCTACTAAACTTGAGAGTGTTAGTCTCTTCCAAAAGAAAACTCTACTAATTTCTGCATTCCTCTCACCCCCTACATCTTCCCAATTTAATACTAAACTAGCATGGGAATCGCGCGTTGCGCGGTAATATGATTGTTTTGATTAATGATTTGATGATTGTCTATATAAATATATATTAATTGTTAATAGAATTATCAACAAATCATATTCAAATAATTCGAAAAAGTTAAATAAAATATAGTTAGTGAAATTTTAATATACACACATATATATTGAGAGAGAGATTTGTTTAGTAATAAAATTGTAAAACTAAATAAAATGAGTAATAATAACGACGGAAATATTAAGGAATCTAACACAAATTTAAGAATAAAAAATACTCCACATAAAGATATGTTTCCTTCAAAGGATGATGTACATGTACTATTTTTCATCTTCAACACATACCTTGACTTTAAAAACACAATAGTGAATGGACC